GTTGCTACAAAGAAATCTACACACACTGGTTGACTTGTGTTTCAAAAGTATGGGCTACTGACCTGTACAAGCAACCATGGTATCAGGTCCCCGGGTCAGAGTGGTGCCAGGGTTTACATTTTTCCTGGATAAAAACAAACTGGGGTGGAGTACATTCTTTGTCTAACACGTTGCCAATGAATTTTGCAGAGGACTCAACTCGCTCACGTTTAAACAAAGCTACAGAACACAAAGGACGCCCAAGTCATGTACCAGAAAAATGATTCTTAAAGAGAGTTTCCTGTCCCTCCCACCCAGCCTCTGGAAAGGTTTACTTCTCTAACCTGGGTTTGTGCTAAGTCATATAACGTTTTGCCAAAGGCCACCCCTATCACCCAGAGCTACACAGTAAGACTAAAACCCTCCCTCCACTTACTGACAGAACTTGAGAAAGGTTCATTGGGAGAAGGTGGTGATCTTTCCTTCATTCTCTTTCCAGCCTCTTGCCTAAAAGTCCTTGAATAAGCTGCGGAGCCACCAGGGGTGGTGTTCACGTCTAGATGGTTGCTGTTGGCAACACCAGGAAGATGCAGCAGTTGAATCCTGAAGGAGGAAACCCAGCCCTCCCATGAGAATAACACACAGGGGACCCCCTCACCCCAACACACACACACACAATCCCCAACACACACAATGGAAACAAAACCCTAGCAACAAAGAAAAAGTAGCTGTGTGGTGGTGTAAAAAGTTCCTTTTTGCACTTGCCATTCCCTTTGTCTGGAATGCACATAAAAATTTCTTTTTACAGGTGTAAAAATTGTACACTGTAACCAACCCTCATTACCTGGATCTCTCTTTGCTCCTCTCCTAAACTAATTTTCTTCCCTAGTCCCATTTCTCTTCTTTCAGTATCCTTTGTTGTAGGTACTTCCACTGTGGATCCCTCTGCTCTTTTTCTCCCCTCCTTCCCTCCCTCCCTTCCTCCCTCCTTCCTTCCTTCTTTCCTTCCCCCCATTACTCCCATCTCTCTTTCTCTCTCATTTCCTACTATGTGTCAGGTATTGCTCTAGGTTCTAGGGATAGATTGAATGAAACCTAGAAGACCCCCGATATTGTAGAGCTTATATTCTATAGGTGGGGGTGGGGGGAGAATGGAGGGGGAAAAAAACAAAATAGTAAATAGAAGAATTTCAAGGAATAACAAGAGATCTGAAGGAAATCAAACTGGGTAATGTGACAGATGACCTGGGAATTGGGAAAGGGAAATACTGCTTTAGATGGGATGGAAAGTCTGTGGGGGGAGGGGTAGATTTAATATTTAATTGAGATCTAAATTATAGGAAAGATTCTGTTAAAAGAAAAGCATTCCAGACAGAATGACAGTGCAAAGTCATTCTGCAGTGAGAATCGGTGTAACAAGTCCAAGGAAGTGAAAGAAATCAGGTGTGGTTAGAGCTTGGAGAACAAGGGTGGGAATGGTAAGACATGAGTCAGAGAGGTTTGCAGTGCCAGGTCACATCTGCCCTGCAGGTAATGTAGGGATTTGGATTTTATTCTAAATGCAATAGGAAGCCAGGTCCTAGCAGAGTGATGAATTATTTATCTAGAACACTGACCCATCCATTGTTTAGTTCCTTTGTATTCTCCATAGGCTGGTCATATAAAGACTTCATGGCAGTGGAGAAGACATAAAGGATTTATTACATAAGGGAGTTTGGGACACACATATGACAAATGTGAGACCCTCTACATCACTCTACATCTCTTTCCTCTTTTTCCGTGTCTCTGAGTTACTCCATTCCTACATACTTGTGCATACTTACCCATACTTACCCGTTTATTGTTTCTTTTTTGATAAATTCATCATTTGCCTTTGGATTTGCATCTGTTTTTACCCCCCAATTGTTAATATAGATGCTTTAAAAAAATCACTCATCTGTGTTTCTGTGTAGGTAGTTAGAAAAAAGATTAAGAAAATCTGTTAAATTTTAAACCAAAAATTCCCATTCACCACAGAGTGATGGATGACTCACAACAATGTTGCAATCCAAGTACTGGAATGACTTAGAAGCCACAGTACATCTCCATTGCAGTTATATTAAGTACTTTAAAATTAAATTTCCAATCACCTTTGATGTAGTCCCAAAGGCTTTCCAAACAAAATCCAACCTAAAAAACCAGTGCCAGTTAATGAGTGTTCTCAGCAAATTCATTGTAGTTGGGATAAAATTATACAAGTATTCATGTGACTTAAAATTACCCAATTTTATATATGTTACTATAATTCATAGTGCATTATAGTGTATATAAAATCCCACAATAATCAACTCCAATTGGAATGCCTCTACCCAAATTAAATTGCCAATTAAATAAATCCTCCCAAATGAGGAATGTATCCAAGGTAAATTAAATTAATCCTATCATATTCATCCCATTTGTATTCTCCAGTTGCTCTATGGTAGTCTCAACGTTTTTTTTTCCCTAAAAAAGAATGCAAAGTTCTAATGTTTCCATTTAAGAAATACAACAAAATCAGTTATGAATTTTTAAGCAAACATCCCATACTTTTGGATGGCTACCTCGAGACTCCAAAATAGTGTTAGTGTGTGTGGGTTCAATACTATTTGCCACATCAGAAAAACCTATCCATTTAAAACAAGGGAGAAGGACAAAAGTCTTCTCAGGATGCCTCAGTGGAACGGGTGCATTTATTTGAACTGGTATGTCTATGCAAATACACTCAGTCACAATAGGGAGCTTCTTAGGCCTGAAGAATAATAATGAGAAATAATTTAAATTCTGAAAGGTAAGCAGAACTGTTAGAGACCTTCACCCTCTTGGTAACCTATGTCCCTTAATATCAAAAGGGGACTTTAGTTTTCCCCTTGCCCCCTTGTTTGGGATCAAATGAGAGGCATCAGCTTTGGTGTAAAGCTGTCAGCTGTTCTAATCCAGGACAACATACACAATTTGGACTCTAGGAATGAGGGACAAAAGGGAGGGAGAACTAGAAGTGGATAGGGATAAAAGTGGGTAGGATTTCTGCTTCTGCAAAAAATGTCCAAGGATGGCAGGCTCCAGTTAAGATCAATGAGGGAAGATGTCTTAGTATGTAGGCAGAGAAATTAGACAAGGCAAAGACAATCTTAGCCATCCAGAATGAAGGAATCAGGGGAAGGATGTCTACGTGCAGCAGACAACTGAACTAGAAAGAGCAGAACTGGAAACCAACAGTGATTCCAATTTGGGGCTAGGCTAGCTTAGATGTCCTATCATTAGACACATTTTCACAAGGAGATCCAATCATTAACGCAACAAACTCTAGTAAGCTCTAGGTTGGGGGTGTTTCCGTTCTCAAACATGGGGCTGGACCAATTACTGGGAGAGGAGGAATGAAGAGGTGGTATCTGAACATCTCAATGTCATCTAGTAGCTCTGATCAGTTTGGACATTCCTGGGAGCACACATAACAGCTCACTATAACAACACAACACACACTGACACCTGTTTGTTCCCCAAGACCAACATGATAGTGAGTTTTTACCATCTTAGCTTACAGAGACATTATTTAGTCCAGGTGACAATCAGATTTCACAAAAGAGAATTTGACTACATAGATATTTATAAAATGAATATGGTTAGGAAAAAAGTGCTAGGGCTGGAAGTCAGAAAAGAGCTACGTTCCAGCCCTCTCTGCCGCTGTTCAGCGGTATGAACCTGGGGAATCCTTAACATCTGTGGACCTCAGTTTTTTCACCTATATAGAGTGGTGAACTCCTGTAGATTCCCTTAGTGTTTTCGAGCAGATCCCAAGATGGAAGCTCACTGTGGAAACTTAAAAACAAATGGAAGACGTGGCACTGAAACAAAGTGGACAACTGCTTCAACTCTAATATAATCATCCATCCTCATAAAGGGACTTGTTGGCCACTAATTTGATAAGTATTATCAAGTGACATTTATTTGTAACTTTTGAGAAGAGTAATTTTCAGACACTAGTCTTGGAATAAGCCCAAGAAGAGTCTCAAGTCATTTTCAGTTTGAATGAACAATTCTTATCTGGGGCTTGGTTGGAGGCGGGGCTACCTGAAACTGCACTGCTTATCCTTCTGAAGAAAAGTGAGAAGTCAGCCTTTCTTCTAGCAGTGTTTGCTCTGGAACAGCTGCTCTGTAGGTGTCAGCCCTATGCCCTTTAAATAATATCACTAATATTTTTATCCAAAATACACTTGCATTTTATATGCTTATTACAGGAAAGAAGGAACTAATATTTTCCAAGTGCCCTCTATGAGCTAAGCTAGGTGTTTTACATATATTCTGTCACTTCATCCTCAAGGCAATAAACAGCAAGGTCTCACTGTATAGCACAGGGGATTATATTCAATACCTTGTAATAGCCTAAAATGAAAAAGAATATGAAAAGGAATATACATGTATATATATATGTATAACTGAATCACTATGCCATACACCAGAAATTAACACAACATTGTAAACCAACTATATACTTCAATAAAAAATTTTTTAAATAAACTACTAAAATAAATCCTCAAGGAAACTTTAAAAGGTAGATATCACTGTCCTCATTTTACAGGTGAAAAAACTGAGACTCAGAGTGCTTGTGACTTGCCCAAGTTCACATCACTAGGACACGACAGAGATCTGAAATAAAAATTCAAGTCTTCTGACTTCACAGTCCATGCTATTTCTTTATAACATCATGCTACATAGACAAAAAAAGAAATGAGGGTGAATGGTTAGCCAGCAAAGTTAGGGAAAAGGATATGCTGTTAGTAAAGAGCTCATTCATTCTATATCATTCTCCAATGTCCAATTTTCAAAGAATCAGAATATGATAGAAATCTTCAATATTAAATCACCACTAAACACACAAGCAATCTGATTGATGATCTAGAAGGTGCTTCCAGATCTTGCTGTGCCTTAAAGTTCTCACTAACAAAACTGATTATCAGTGCACCACAGATGTGTGGAAAAGAAAACGCCAGGTAACAGAAGCCAGGTCACCTGCCTCCAAGATTCCAGGCCCTGCATGGCTTTTATTACACCAGGTCAAGGAAACAAATACAATCTATCAACATGGTCCTGCCTCTTGAGACATATATTCTAAACATACATCCATTCTCATTCCCAGTGAGAAAGAAGTCACTGCAAAAGAATCTCACCTTTTGCCAAATTCTCCCTTAAAATCCTAAACCAGTCATATCACTGTGCACAAAATTTTTGGCAGTCACAAGCTCTATCACAGAAGCAGAGCGAAAAATAATTGGAGAATATAACTGGTATTTAAATTTCCCTCGTTGGGTGGGTTGGACTGCATGAGGCAGTGTGGCTGTGTGGAGGGAGAGAGGTCTGGACCCCAACGAACAGTTTGCTCCTGCCAGTGAGTTACCAAAGCCGCAATTCTTGACTTGTATGTTCCTCAGCCATTCCAGTGCCTATATCCCTAGCAACCTTAAACAATGAAATTTCTGCAAGCAACCATGTCCAAATAAAAAGCGCAATAGTTGAATCTCCAAGAAGTGGCCAATTTCAGAAAGGCACTTCTTGGCAGGCTAGAGCAGACTGGGGTGAAAGTTGTACCGGAGGCTGGAGAAGAGCCCGATGTGTTTCACGAGGTTGGGCTCCACCACATAGGCCCGCTCCCCTTTGGCCCTCAACAGTGAGTACAGTGCCATGTCCTTGCCGAAGCCCTTGTGACAGTACACCTGAGACAGGTAGGTGAGGGTCCGGCGGGCCGCGGGGGCAGGGAAGAGCATGGCCGGGGTGCAACACTGCGAAGCAGGGACCACACTGTACAGGGAAGGACTCAGCCGCCGCAGCTCCAGGAAATAGTGCCGGCCCACCAGCTCAACCAGACCCATGCTATACAGGGAGAAGAAGAGCATGACGGGCCAGCTAAACCCCGGCCGGCTGGCAAACCGCATGTATACCCAGGTTAGTAAGGGCCCCAGCAACATGCCGACACCGACCCACTCCAGGATCCGCATGGGCTCCGGGTTGATGTAGTGCTGGAGCCTTTCGGGGTGATAGAGCTTTAGATAAAGGGCATCTCTGAGGTGCGGCTCCGAGAACCGAGCCCGCAGAAGATGCTCCAAGACTGGGAAGATCTGCTCTTCTGGGACGGCGTCATCTTCCACCATCAGGACATAGTCTGGGTTGTAGGTCTGCAGGGAGGATTCCAGGCAATAGACATAGTCCTGCTTCTCTTTCTCAAATGAGTTGGTCGAAGGGTCATCGCCGTAGTCATCCTCAGTGCCCTCATAGCGGTTGGCCACAGGGACGTACTTGGACAGCAGCTTGGCATCGAAGTGGCTCACGCTCCGCTCCACATTGCACAGGAAGAGCTGGTGCCCCTCGCACTGGGGGCCGCACTGCTGAAGTAGCCGGTGGAACTGAGACACCACCTGCAGGACGTAGTGGAAGCCAGGTTGCCTGTCCACAGTGATGATGGTGATGACCAGCCAGGGGCGGGGCGTGGCCTGCCAGACGATGGGCACTGAGCCATTGGCAGAGGGCAGCTCCTCAAAGTAGTGGAGGGCAGCTTCACCCTCTTTCAAGCTTTGCTGCAGGAACTCTTGGCTCATTTGGTTCAGATGCCAGTGGCGCAGGTAGAAGTAAGAGTGCAGGAGCCGGTGACAGGCCAGGGGGCCAGCAAGCCAAAAGTCACCACCGTTAAGATGAAGAGCTGGACAGCAGTGCTGCCCCAGGAGAGCCGCCTCAGCCTCCGGAGGAGCATGGCAGCTGGAGAGGTTGAAGTGCTCATGAGGTCAACTTCTGGTCAGGTCTGGTCCCAAGAACAAATCATCCTGGATCACAGGCCAAAATCAGTGCAAGTCAAACCTAGAGAGAGAGGAAGTGAAGAATGGTACAGGCTTTAAAAAAAATCCAGGCATCGAACTCAGCATATATCAAACCAGAAATTCTAATTCTAGGCTGTGTAGGTACGAGAGACAAGTATTTTCTGCAGGACACGCTTCTCTGGTTATCTGTTAATGATCTCTGGGATTCTTTTACCATTTCTATGACTAATGAAACCCTGGTGCATCCAACCAAGTCCCGACACCCACAGATGCTTAGTTAATGTGTACAATGTGCCAGAAAAATCACCAGGCAGGCTAGCAAAATCATTATTTCAATTCAGCAGCTACATTGACATGGGTTCTTAAAATGGATGCAAAAAAGCAAGGCTTGACACAAAGGAAATACACGTTTAAAGTAAGTTCCAACATAAGTGCATCCTAAGTGCTTGCTGACTGACTGTGCATGATAATTTCTGAAAACTCTGTCTTTTCTCTGCATATCCCAAACAAGAAAGGACTATTCAGGACTCCCTAAAACATCTTTGTCAAGAACTTCAATTCTTATTTCTCTAACTTCATGCAACTATACTTAAAATTGCATGTTAATTTAATCCTAATTGCTCTTCTTTTTTTTTTTTTTAACAGAACTACCATGGGAACCAGTGAGAAAGAAGATTTCCCCTCACATGCGAGTGAACTCTAGCGCGCAGACTTTGGGAGGGGAGGAAATATCTGAAGGAAAATCCATGAGCAGCTTTTCAGTGAGGGAGGGAAAGGAGAGGCAGAGATGAAGATGAAAGAGAAAGCTGCCACCAGCCTGGTTCAGAAAGGAACAGAGCATAACGTGCTCTCTCAGAGTACAGGCCTGAGGTCAGACACGTGCTGGTGTGATTCTCATCTTGACCACTCACTTGGTGGAAGGTCACTATCCCTCTCCACACCTTGGACTTCTTACCTCTAAAATGGAGTTTTAGTTTATCTATCTCATGGAGTTACTATGAAGACTAAATGTGTTACAGAGCAAAATAATACAGAGTAAAGATGCCATTAAAATATATCCATATGTACAAACTTAAGTAATATTATAGGAGTATGACAGTCTAAGGATCTGAGGGAAAACAGACTTGCACCCAAAAACAGAATGAAAAGGACAAAGCCAGCATAACACCAGTAAGCTCAATGCAAAACTAAAAGGTGTCTATGGAATAAAAGGTAAAACTCTTAGCTCGGAAGCATAACAAAGCTTGCACATCCTGGGAAGAGAGCTGCCCAGGTACCTGTTGTTGTGGTGCAGGCTCTCTAGTGCCCTCATCTCACATTCTCCCCTCCCTGGGCTCAGAGAAAGACCACATCTCCCAGCGCGCTTTCCTCCAGGTGGGGTTATGTGCCTAGGGATTGCCAGTAAAATGTGAGCCAAGTGACAGGTATGACTTTTGGACCAAAGTGGCTGGGAGTACATGTGCCTTCTCGACGTCCTCTTTCTCCATCTGCTAGTTGAATGGAGGGCCGTGGTGGATCTAGAGGAGGGAGGAGCCACCTGACGGCAGGAGCCTGGGTCCCTGAGTGACTACAGGGAACAGGGGTCCCTCCCACTGCTCAGCTCTCAGCACTAGCCCAACCTAGAATGGGCTGTGTCGTGAGCAGAACAGAAACCCCTGTATCTAGCCAGGAATGATGAGCCTCCCCTGCCCATGAGAGTTGTGTAGAATACCACACCCCTCTACAGGATGATGACATAGCAATTCAAGAAAGGAAAGTCTCATTTCAGCAACAGAAACAGATTATTTTGTGAGATCCCAGAGGTGAGAAAGACTATTCTCACCAGCACTAATAAGAGATCTGGATGGTACTAAAGCAGGAGATAAGCAGGGAGAGGTTTGAATAGCATCCAACTCCAGGTTTGCTGGAGTACTGCAGACTGGCTGCGTCACCCTGTTATCTGTTCAAGTCAACTGGAGTTCATAAATCATGTGGTTGCACATCCACATGGTCTCACCAGTTCCACATCACCACTAGTGGAAGCCAAGTGCTGAAACTGGATTGAGTTCACACTTGGCCTTAGTGGGTCTTGGGAATGGAGTCATTCGGGTGGCTTCCTGCTCACGCTGTTTTCTCTGTCCTTGACATTACCCAAGAGAGCTGTGCCTACTCAGAAGGAACAAAATACAGTCAACAAGATAAGGCATGCAGCTCCGAAAATGCCAGGCACATGCTAAGTGCTATGATAACAATGTGGTTATGATGATAATGCAGAGCTCAGTGTGTGGTATGAAACTGCCATCCACCCTCCTTCAATACCCTCTTCCAGTGAGTCTTTTTGTAAAACAACGATGTGATACTCTTTAGTCCAGATAAATCCAGACAATGCTCAGGGAGCACACATGTGTACATGTGCACACACAATTATGTAAGAATACAAATCTGATCACGTCACTCCTGCTTAAAACCCTTCTTTATCTTCTCATTGCTCTTTTAATAAACTCTAAATTTCTTATCGTGGTCCAAAAGGCCCTTTATGATCTGGACCCTGCCTTCCTCTGTCATCTTGTTCTACTACCCCCTTTTCTCTGCATCTTCTAGACAAGAAGTTGGCAATATTTTTCTGTAAAGGGCTAGATAGTAAATACTTTAGACTTTATGGGCCACATACTGTCTCTGTTGCATATTCCTCTTAGACTATCTCTTTTTTAAAACTCTTTGAAAATGTAAAAACTATTTTTAGTAAAAATGTAAAAACTATTTTTAGTGCTCCAGCCACATCACAACAGGCTGCAGACCAAATCTGGCTTGCAGCCCATAGTTTACCAACCCCTGCTCTAGGCTAGCACTGTCCAGCAGAAATATAATGCAAGCCACATATGTAATTTAAAATTTTCTAGCAGCCATAATAAAAAGTAAAAAGAAACAGATGAAATTAATTTTAATAATATATTGTAATGCAACACATCAAAACTATTACTTCAACATGAAACCAATATAAAAACTTATTAATGAGGCGTCTTACATTTTTTCATATGAACTCTTTGAAATCCAGCTCCCATGGGACCAAGCTGTTCCCTCAGGGCCGGCAGACATTGGGCCTGCAGGCAGTCTGAGTTGGCCTGAAAGCTGTTTGACTTTGAGTGTCTGAGCTGTAAACTGTTTAAGTTGTTGGAAAATCATTCTTTTACTCTAGGAAAAAACCTCTGAGAAACGAGATCCCAGTTATTTAAATATTTTGAGGGCACCTCCCCCCATAGGGACTCCAGCCGATTTTATGTTTAACAACCACAGTTGGTTGGTCTTTGATTTTAATTCTAGGGAACTTTCAGGACTTTCCAAATTAATGATTTTCATCCTAGCCTGGGCCTGGCTTTCACTGACAAGCATATGAACTAGCTGACATGCCAGAGAAGTCAGGTCGATAAACTGAATGACTATATTAAATTCCTCACCAAATCTGTGAGGATCTTTGGTACTTTGGCAAAATCTTTGACCGTGGCTTGAAGTTCAGCTTTAGTCCAGGGAAAATAAGAAATTAAGCGTTTAGCCTCTGCATCCTCAGAAGGCTTAATTTTAAAAGGACAGTTTCTGATAAATTCAGAGGAAAAGGGAGTAGGTAGAATTTCAGAGAAAAAGAAAAGGGAATTTTATATTATCAGGCTTGAGCAATTACTAGGCAACTTCATCGAGCAATTCTTAGGGCTCTTCCAATATTGAGGATACACATGAAAATCTGATAAACCTGTTTGTGATTAGTATGACCAATTTCATATTGTTTTTAAAGAAAACCCTGGTCTTCCTTCAGATGTTGATTCACTGGAAAACTTTTAATTTTATTTATTTATTTCTTTTTTGTGGAGGGGAAGAAATTAAGTTTTTATTTACTTTATTTTTAGAGGAGGTACTGGGGATTGAGCCCAGGACCTTGTGCATGCTAAGCATACCCTACTTGAGCCACTTGATCTATATCCGCCCCCCTCAACCCAGCGCCTGGAAAACTTTTACCTCTGTTTATTCATGGGCTGAACCAGGACTTTTCCCTTCTAGTAATGTAGGAGCCCTCCAAATACCTTGGCCAAAAGCGTTGCTCTTGGACTTTCTAAACCTCAGATCCACCTTTTAGAATTCATAAACTCTTACACTTTGAGGTAGTCACAGGACACTGAATGAACTTCCCTCCTGCTTCTTTTGACCCACAACTGTTAAAGGGAGAGATACTCCAATACTGCAATGGCCTAATTGCGTCTATTAAAAATATCCATGTGTGGTAGAACAGTCTTTTCACAACGCACTCTTGAAAGATGAAGACCTTAAGCATCACTTCTTGCAACCTGGAGATTTCATCTACTGAAAAAGTCACCTCCAGAAAGACTCTCTTCAACCTTGCTGGAAATGCCCTTATCAGGTACTGCTAACAAACCCTTGTGCTGCCAAACTCCAAGGAAAAGACTCTTGGATACATGTGACACACCTAAAGAGAGACAAAGCCCTGACTGGACCTAAACATCATCTGGTGACCTGAAAGTAAAGATTTCCCAGAATTGAAGCAGATGACTTCTGATGAGACAGCTTTCCCAAGATATCCAGGCCAGGCCTGTTGGAAGTTTGTTGACAAATTCTTGATAATGACACAATGCTTCAGATGATCTCTAACGTCTATGATCTTCAAAACATATGGACTTTAAATGAAAAGTGTCTTAGAGTTCTTCCTCTTACCACTCCTTGTTACTCACATGTGATCTCAGTAGATTTCTAATCTATTCCCTCCAACATGAGACACTATACCCAGGGAAGGTCTTTCCTGACACTGAAGAACAAAAAAGCCTCTGAAAGTAGAAAACCTGAAACTTCATCAGTGATGTTTTCAGAGAAAGACCTTGGTCAAAAGAGGAAATGTTAAAAATTAATAAACAGAAAACTCAAAAATGAAATAGAGTCTGGACACTGGAATGCGGAGCTCTCAGTCCCTGTGATGACAGCAGAGCCCAATAACAACAGTAACAAAAGACTCCTTTACTGGCAGGTACTCAGCCAATGAACAGTCATGGAACTTTGTTTACTATGTAGCCCTCCCAACTTCCTTTTCCCCTCCATGAAAGCGCTAGCCTTCCCTTGCTGTGTGGGGACTTACACATGGCTGGCCATGGTTGCAGACTCTGAACTGCAATTCTCTGCTGATCCCAAATAAACCCATCTTTGCTGGAGAAATAACTAGCATTCTGTTTGTTTCAGGTAAACACCCGAATCAGAAATAATCTCTTTTTTCCTCAAGTGCTGGGGCACTTTACATGAACTTTTATCCCAGGACATTCATTAGTCACTTTCTACTTTAGACTATATCTATTTATAGCTGCCACTTATTAAGTTCCTACTACATATCCAAGCTCTGTACTAGACTCTTACATATATTTCATCTGACCAAAAAAGCAACTCTAAAATAGTAATGGAACAAATCTCATTTAAATGAAGAAAAAGAAAGAAAAAAAAAGCTACCAAGCTGAAAGCAGGAAATTCAAACACATGAAAAATTTCAAAGCCCATGTCTTTTCCATGATGCCTGCTGCCTTCCATGGTTTATCTTTGGTATCTCTTAAAGACCCAGTATAGTATTCTATGCATGGAAAAGGTTTATTGTTTGTTAAGCATATAAATGACCTCTATGGGCCTCAATTCCTCAACTATAAATTTGGGAGTATCAAAGAGCCTGGTTAGATAATATTCAGAGATCAACTTACTTGTAAATGCTTACTGGGCACTGTTCTAAGCATCTCATCTATCCTTTATAAGAAGTACTATTATTAAGCCCATTTTATACCTGGGGAAAAAAAACAACACACTAAGGTACAATTAACTTGCACCCAAGGTTAATAAAGCTTTAATTGGGTGGCAAAACTTGAAATCCAGGCAGACTGGTTCCAGAACTCATGTTCTCAACCAATATGTAATATTGTCTCTGCACAAATTGGGAACCCAAGAAAATCAGCTAAAAAACCATTAGAAATGATAAGAGACTTTCAGAATGCATTTGATAAAAGAATCAATATGCAAAAATTATATATATTATACACACTATTATGTATATGTATGTGTATATATATATTATATATATAAACTGCTTTCATTTAATCAATTACTAAATTAATCAATGGGATAAAAGATCCTACTCAAAACAGGAAAAAAAGAAACTGAAAATGTCTAGAATAAATTTAAGAAATATGTGGAATATGCACACATATAAAATTCTACTGAAGGACATTTTAAAAGGCCAAAAAATGGATAAAAAACATTTTCCCAGTTGAAAAGCCACACTAATGAAAGAGGAGATAGAGGTCTCTTTCTCCAAAATTAACCTCTATATTTAACATAATGTCAACTCAATTTACAAGAGGGAGTGGGCCAGTTCAACAAATGGGCACTTTCATATAAATTGGTGCAACCTTTGGAGTGGAAGTTGGGACAGTATCTATAAAATTTTTATATGTGCATCCCCTTTGACGTAGAAATCCTACTATTAGGAATCTACCCTGCAAAAATACCAACACATGCTACCAAACATGGACAAGGAATGTTCACAGCAGTTTTGTTTATGAGTAAGAAAGAAAGGGAGAAAGAGGCGGAGAGGAATAGAGGGCAGGGCAAGGCAGGGAGGATAGACAAACTGCAGGGAAAGGAAATGGCCAGCAATAGGGGACAGATGTTTAGATAATTATACAAGGGGATGATATGGAGACATTAAAAAGAAAAAGAAAGTTCTAAATATACTGACATTTAAAAAGTCTTAGCTAGGGGGGACGGAGCTAAGCTCAGTGCTTCTCTACCATGCATGAGGGTTCAATCCCCAGTGCCACCATTAAATAAATAAATAAATAAACCTGATTACCTCCCCCCACAAAAAAAATTTAAAAATAATAATTTGAAAAAAAAATAAAGTCTTAGTTAGATCTCTGCTATGGACTGAATGTTTGTGTTCCTCCCAAATTCATATATTAAAATTCAAATCCCCAGTGTGATGGTATTTCAACATAGGTTCTTTAGGAGTTATTTAGGTCATGCTGGTGGAACTCTCATCCTGGGATTAGTGCCCTTATTAGAAGGGGCAGAAGAGAGCTTGCTTCCTCTCTCTCTGCTCTGCGGGTGAAAACACATCAAGAAGGCAGCCATCTGTAAACCAGGAAGAGGGCCCCTTACCAGAACCCAATTATGCTGGCACCCTGATCTCAGTCTTCCAGCCTCCAGAACCGTGAGAAATAAATGTTTCTGCTGTTTAAGCCACCCCATCTATGGTAATTTGTTATACTGAACAAAGCAGATTGAAAAATTCTCTAAGGGAAAAACACAAACTATGTCCAAACATGATTTTGTTTCTTTTGTTGGAGCGGGGAGAGGCTGGTTAATTTAACCAAAATATCCTAAAGATCATCTGGAATTAGTATTAATAAAAATTGCTAGGAAATGCTCACCTTGGTGGGCCCTATACTAAAACTAGAAGGATAAACTGAAGATTAGCATGGATCCTGTGCAAAGATGACATCAATTATATAGTGCTCCGTTGTTTTTTATTGTGACGGTGGTTATATTTGTCAGAATTCATTGAAATATATATTCAAATGGTATATTTTATTGCATGTAAACTATACCTCAATAAAATTGATTTTTTTTAAAAAGCCAGGAAGATGATACTGGGTAATAAGAGCGATATTAAGCTTGTTATAAAACGCCGGTAATTAATATAACATGGCACTGGCACCAAAATGTACTAATAGATACATGATAAAGTCCACAGATACAAATATATAATAATTCAATATATCATAATAGTAGCAGTCTAAATCAGGCGTAAAAATGGACTTAATAGCTTTGCAGAAACTGGCTAATCATTTAGGAAAAGTAATTGCTCTCCACTTTACAACTTAAACTAGAATAAATTTCACATTACAATTTGTAAACGAAAGCTTAAAAGTGCCTGAAGAAAATACAGAATATTTACACAAATTTGGGTGAAGAATGGCCTTTCTCAGCAAGATCCTCAAGCAGAAACCATAAAGAAAAAGAATAGATTTGAATGGCCAAAGATGAAAAACTGACAAAAATATTAAGCACACTGGGAGAGATTTTGCAACACAGATAACAGGATTACTACTTTAATGTGTAATGTATAAAGAGTGCTTAAAAATCAGGAACAGAAAGACACTTCAACTGAAAAAGGGGTAAAAGAATTAATAGTCAACAAATGCAAAAGGCCAATACACAGAGAAAAAAAGCTGATTTCCCCTGGGTAATCAGATATTCAAATTAAAACAAGATACTATTTTTGTCCACGCTGTTGGGTTAAATGTGCGCATATAGAGAAATTTTTAAGAAGATATCCAGAAAATCTCAACAATCTAAAAGAAGTTTTAAGTTATCTTTACTTTCTCCTTTGTATTTTTATTCTCTGAATGTTCTGTAATAACTTTATCCTTAAAAAAATTCTAATTAATAATGTTAGACAAACATGGTTTTCTCTTCTCACCTCCTAAAGCACCTGGTGCAGTGCACTCTAGAAAAAAGCCAATTCCCCTTACAAGGTTTAGCTCCCTATGGGAAATGCGCGCTTTCACGCCGGCACACACACCTGTAGGTTTTTACTAAAGGTCCGCATAGTGAGATCATCATTGGAGAGGCCCTTTTGTCCCCTCACTCTCGGAGAGCAAGGGGCGATCAGAGGATGCCAGGGTCACACTCACCTGGCAAGAGTTCTTGCCTGCGACACTATATGGGCGCAGTGCAGCACTGACAACGTTCGCGCCCAGAGGCCAGGGAGAGACGAGCCGAGGTGGTCCTAGCTACCCCTTGTGGAAAAAGAACGGCAGCGGAGTACCAGAGACCCGGATCTAGTGTCTGCCATTGACCTTGGGCAGTCCCCGACGCGCTCGGGCCTCAGTTTCCCCACCTGTAGGCGGAAGCTAACGGTCTCGATCGCCGCGTTGGTTCCCTTTGGCTGGTCTTCCAAGAGCTGGGAGGGACGCCTTCCTCTGCCCGGTTTCCCTTCCTCGATCTCGGGGCTGCGAGGTCGCCCGCAGAAACCCAACGCCGCAGCAGCACGCTGGCGCGCCCCGAGGGGCGGACGCGCCGCAGATTGTCGCCGCGAGTGAGCGGCCATTAGGCGGTCTGCCCTGAGGCTGCTCAGCCCCGTCAGGCTGGACAGGAGCGGGGTCTTACCTGGACTGGCACACACCCGGCTTGCGCCTTTCTGTCGCCCTCGCCGCGCCACTCAAGCGGGCGAGGGATAGGGAGGCGCCTTCGCTGCGACATTCAGTCACCCCTGCGCGGATGCCAGCCCTGGCCGCGCGGGGAACGCCTTTCTGGGGTCCCCGCAGTCGTCCGGCAGGAAGCAGCCAGCGCCACAAGCGGAGCAGCAGCGAAGCCTGCCGGCCCAGAGCGCACCGCTGGGGACGCAGGGCCTCCCAAGACTGCGCCAGCCCCTGCAGCTGCTTTCCGTGTGCCAGCCACGGCAACCCTAATCCTTGTCCCCTAGCTCTGAGGACATCTCTGGGGTGGGCGCTCTAGTCACGATGCCAAAAAAGCTGGGCAGATATTGCGCGGCGGCAACCTACCCAGTGAGGGCGGTCATCTCGGTCTCCTGCGCACGCGGAAGGCATCTGCTGGTGTCGCCTAGGCTGTCTTGATCATCTTCTATGGAGGATCCATAGCCGGACCCTGAGGCCCGTTTCAGCCGGGTTTGGGTGCGCGGGGAAGCCTCACCTCCTCCCAAGGCGCAGCTCCTGCGCGAGGTCCCCTAGCTCTGGCAGGCCATGTGACCTGCGAGCTGCGGACCGACCGCAGCCCCAAAGCCAGCTTGGGGGAAAAAGGACGGCAAAAGGCGCCAACTGATGGGCAGAGAGGGGAAAGCAAGCTCAGGGCAAAAGAAATTGAAATGCTGGAAGAATTAGGTCTCTGCACTGTTCACAGCCCCAGCTGGCCATCAAGCGTGTTCTCTGCTGGAGAGATTTGTTTTTGCAATAATAAAAATAATAGCGGACACTACTTCCACCCCCAATCCCCACCGTGCCACGCCTTGTGCCAAGCGCCTTATGAATATTCCTCTCACTTCGCTCCTGTACATTAGAGATTATCATATCCATCTGCAAATGACAATAGAATATTTGAGAAAATAATGTGCCAAGTGCAATCCTTACTCCAAAAGTCAAAATGTAAACATTAATTAAAAATCAGAAAGGTCTGCTTTAATGAGATCACCTAGCCAGGTATGGGATTTAGGTCTGTGGCTCTTTCCATTTACCTGTCTGTCAGCTTCTCCCAGGAGTGGCTTTGGTGGTTCACTTGAGTCCCAGGCAATATTGAGACAGGAGGGAAGGGGGCAGGGCAGAGCCACTCAAGGAATGATAGCAATTTAACACCAAAATGGTGAAAGATTCAACTCCCAGATGGCCTTGAGGATTAAGTTGGCTGGAGGTTTGACTTCTAGCAGACCTTGAGCTTCATTACAACAGCATGATAAATAACATGCCTGTAGGCACCATGACAGTCCCAAGACTAACTGCAAAATGCCAAAGAAGGGCTGTGGCCCAGTTCCTGGGAATTCCAGACTGTTTCCCAGGGCAGTTGGAATGGTCCCACCTGTAGGCGTGTGAAGCTACGGAGCCCATAAAAACTGGCAACACCATCCCTGTCGGCACTTTTTCACCTCCTCCTCTTCAGAGACAGCCCGCAGTCTGTCTGTGGAATGTGTACCTACTTTTACTTGAACCTGAGCACCCAGTTCCCACACTTCTTTTCTTGCCTTTCTCTTAACTTACACTCTATGCAGTATGTATCTCTCTAAATAAATCTTTTATTCAACTGTGGCTCGCACTTGGATTCTTTCCTGCACGAAGCCAAGGACCCATACCTGGCGGGGCATGTTCCAGGAACACAACCGAGGCCTGGGACATGGCCCTCCTCACGCCCACATCCGTTTTCCTGCACCAATACCACCCCCAACCCTTAATTTTGGCAGACAGATAATATACTCTTCTTATAGATGGAAAAATTAAGGTTTGGCCAAAGGAATGATCTTGTCCAAGTGACAAGCTGGTCAACTAATCTACTAGTTAATAGTGGAGTGGTTATTTTCTGGGCCCTGTGCAAAACATAATTTACATTATTTAGTGTTCACAAAAATCTTAAAAGGAAGGTACTATTATAATTCCTAGTTAAGAAAACTGAGGCTCAGAGGGATTATGAATTTGCATAAGGTTAGAGCTAGCAAGTGGCAGAGTTCAGATTCAAATTTAGGTTTTTTTGTCTAGAGATGATTTACTTCTCCAAAACTGCTGTTTTTTCCCCAGCACTTTGCAGTTTCTTGCTCCTTCCATTGCTTCTAGATTTTGCCAGAGATGAGCGTCTAACCTTTATCCAGAAGCTCAGGACATTGTAACAGCATCTATCCTAGCACTGAGCTCATTTGCCACGACATCTTCTGAATAATGTGCACAGCACCTAATAATTGAAATCTTTGTTGGACAGTGGTTGCTTTCCTTGTACAGGGTCCAGACTGTACTGTTAGGGATCCTAATACTTTTCCTGAAGATCACCAGACATAATTTCTAGGGGCAGATCAGGGTGTATTTTACTCATAACAAAAGCCAAAGTTTTGGGTTTTTTGTTTTTGTTTTTGTTTTTTTTAGTTTCATCTTCTATTTTTGAAGGGAGGTGATTGGATTTACTTATTTATTTATTTTTAGAGGAGGTACTTGGGATTGAACTCAGGATCTTGTGTATTCTAAGCATGAACTCTACCACTTGAGCTATACCCTCCCCCTCTAAAAGCCAAAGTTCTTACAATCACCAGTGGCCGTTGGTTCCTGCTCTGGCTTCCTTTCCAATCACTGTTCCCTTTTGCCTACTACTCTAGCCATACTAGCCCTGCTGGTCCTCCAATGCATCAAACCCACTCTCACCTTAGGGCTATTGTAACTGCTGTTCCCACAGCCTAGAACACTCTTCCTCTAGATTTCCATGTGGCATGCTCACTTGCTGTCCTTGATCATCTCACATATCCCTACTCCCATCCCCTGTACTCCTTCTGTTCTTCTCCACAGTGAATGACAAATGAATGAATATGAACTCCTATTCTACCCTATAATTCTAACACATTGCACAGACCATCTAGGAGAGAGGGCGGGCAAAGGGAGAAGAGAATGATGAAGGAAATACCTGAAAAGTGGCTGTAATGAGTAATGAAGGGCTTTCATACATTGAGGAAGATCATTTCTGAGCTTCACCTCTCAGAAATCATTTAGTTAATAGTCCACAGAGGTTAATAAAAGATCTTGTATATAACAAGATAACTTAATGTTTATTGTGAAGCTGCTAAGTATTCACTAAGTATATAACAAATGCTGATTTAAATGATATTTGAAGATGTGATCTGTCATAATTTGTAACTTTTATTTCATTCACATATCATGAACTGAATGACCTAACATCTAGACATTTCTTAAAAGAGCAGTGAGGTCTCAAGCCAACTCAGTCTCCAAATGAGCACTGCAGAGTATTCCCCCCTACACCTCCCCCCAGATAAGTCTTCACTAACTATTCAAGCCTATGTATACAAATCTGTTCCTGCCTTCAGGGCTGCCTTCAAGTCATGCAAACAAGAAGCATGTGTCTTTCGTTAAGGGAATAGAAGCCAACATTATACTTCATGAGGGAGGCACACAGATTTATGCGCATTAATGAAATGCTATCTCTCAGTGAACGAAAGGCCTTCATTAGAAAGCAATTACTTTGTGTCTCGAGTGTTTTTCAGTCTTGCAGAAACCTTTTAAAACACAAATGGCCCTGAGAGAGATAACACTAGAGGTATGAGAAAATGTACATGCTGGTTGAAAACCATCCCTGAGGAAGAGAAGCACAGGACAGAAATGTGGAATGACCCTGGAAACAAGAAGTACGGGGTCAAAAGAAAAGTGAAAGCCAGCTATATTCCACCTTGACCTTTCCTTTCTTCCCAGGGTTTCCACCACACAGTTTTACTGCCTTTCTTAGCTTCTAATTCTAGGCCAGGGGTAAGAAAACTACCATTCGCTGCCTGCTTTTGTGCAGCCCACAAAATAAGAATGGTTTTTACAGTATTAAATGGTTACAAATTAAAAGGAGAAGAATATTTCCAGCTGTCAAAATCATATGAAATTCAAATACCAGGGTTATTGACACAGGGTCATTCATTTACATATTGTCTGTGTTTACCATCATGCAACAACAGAAAAGCTGAGTAGTTGTGACAGAGACCTATGACCCACCAAGCCTAAATATTTACTACCAGTCTGGTTTGCCAACACCTGCTTTATAAGGTGGTCTATTCAGTGGTCACAAGAAAAAGCAGTAAAACCAATGAATGCTTATATGATTTCTTCTTGTGTATGTCAGCATAGTAGGTACTAGAAATTGAGGTCCCTTAGACTCTTACATCTAACCACCTGGGCACCCATCCATCCTCTATTTTTAAAAACAATGTTTGTTGAAGAATCGTTCTCACATAGAGCTACAGATAAGAAAAGATGAGAATTAGATGTGCATCCTGCTCTCAAGGAGTTTGTCATTAGGAATGTTGGGAAGTCTATATAAGGCTGCATAGGCTGAGGGCTGAATCTGGCACAGGAAAGCAGCCTAGGAAGATTCCCATCTCCTGGACCAAACACAGACCTCCACCTTTCAGACTTCTTTGATATGAGAAGGTTAAAATTTTTTTAGGTTATTATTATTTTGGAGTTTTAAAAGTTACATATCATTAAGCTTAATCCAATATAGGTTATGAAGAGGATCACACAATTATTTGAAGTTGTTTCACACTCATTTTGTTAAAATCACATAGTAAGCTTCTAATTTCATGTTTGGTTTTATTATTATTATTTCATGTGATTATGTTAGGTAGTTAGATAAGTGGGGGCACCGGGCAGATAGGTGGAGGAGAGCGAAGATGGTCCAGAAGATGGCGTTATGCCCGCCTCCAGCATAAAGGGACTTTACTTTTTCTAAAGAGTGCCAGCAAGAACCCAATTAGAACCCAACAACCACAACTGCGCAGTAGAGAGAAGGACCTAGCCAGACAGGACCCAATGCTCATTGTAATATAATTAACATTGCAATTTAGCCCCCACCCACCATGGGTTTCTCCATGTACACCAAGGGTAAGGATACGGAGGCCAATCATGACTAAGCAGTCCAGGGGCAAGAGCTATCAATCAATCAAAAGAACACCTCTAAGCAAGGATATGAAAGAGGAGACAAAGACCACTGCTTTTCTCCCTTGGATTAGCTTACCCCCCATTCTTGGAGGTGTACTTTTTTTCCCCCTAAATTAATCCTTTAAAATCTTCAGCTACACGATGCTCTCTGTCTCCCATCTGTAATATCATCTTTCAGGTATGACAAGAAATGGGGTCTTTTCCTTTGGGTAACAATTATTGTTATGCATAGATGATAATAATAATAGTAACTACATTCTCTATCATAGGAGTAACAGGGAACCAGTTTTTCAGATTAAAATCCAAAGTTGAACAGCCATCAGGGTCTTTTATGAAAGAAAATAAACTCAGGAGTCCTGGGATGGGGGAAGGTAAGAGTGGTGGTAATCTAGGAAAGGCTGGGAAAAATTCCTGGAAAGGTAAGTTTCCAGGATTCTGGCTCTCATCTTGTAAGCCCCTTTTTGATTCCATACTAGCTACCCAGGCTTGATTCTCACAGAGATCAGAGAAGCCAACCCCAGGAAAGGAAAGAAGCCATTTGCAGCCTCACCCTTCATAAAACTAGAAGACAGTTTAGGGGCTTTTCCTGGGGATGGCCGGG